TGCAGGATTTTCCAAGGCCATCATCATCTGGGGACTTCTTTATGTTGAAGATGAATTTATCTTTTTCTAATTCTTGATCTTTTTGGCAGTTTGAAATTTGGTTTCTTTCTTGACCTTTGTTTTTGTAAGAAGGTCCTCTGCTTGTGTAAACTTATAATCAAATTGCTTTACTGAGGTGTTATAGGAAAGAACAGGATCAAAGAGCAGAGAAGGGGAGAAGTTTTTCATAACTTCAGGTTTTGACAATTTGGCAATTTAATGTACATGAACCTGACCATGGTCTTCCTTCTAACTTAATGTTATTAGCATTTACTTTAGAGTGTGGTTCTTTTATAGATACTCAGGGCTCTGTGGTGACACATTTTTAAGACTAAGTGAAACTCAATAGCTGTTGCTAAGGGCAATTTTTTTTCTATTGACTAAGAGCAGGGGTGACCTAAAGATGGTATGAAATAGCCCTAGAAATCCCAATGCTTAAATAAAAGGGTTAATTTCATGTTTTACATCCTGCAGTCATGTTTTGTGCCAATTCTCCTGTAAATCTCTGTCTGAAGCAGGCACTTGCATGTAGAGGAAGAACTGTCTTCCCACAGGGAACTTTGAAACCCTTAGACTTTGCGGTATTTGCTATTTTCTTTGCTCTTCAGATACAGACTAGGCTTATACACACTGACTCTAAAAATGGAATTTTGACTCAGGGAGTGCATAAATTTAACCTGGCTTCAGTGGAGATAACAAGCTTTCACTGAAAGTGCATTCACTGTCTGGGTTGCATCAAGCTGAGATACTGCTGGTGCTGGCACAATTGTGGAAGGAGTTTGTGTACATGGTGGTGGGTGTGTAGGTGCCATAGTCTGTGGTCTTCAGAGGCCCAGTTGAATTTACACTGAATTTAGCTGTGGCCTTTGCTCCATTTTGGCAAAATGGAAGATTTAGCTGCTGTTTAGCAACAATATAAAACTCCCCAGTGTGGGTTTTTGGTGAAAGTTCTGGGTTTGGTTTGTCATGGTTTTTTTGAGTAAGTGTGTATACTATAATGTGTATTCAGTCCAGTTTCTTGAGTCTAGAATGAAACCTGTCATAATCTCTATGATCATATCTAAAGAAAAGCTCCAGAGGTTTCTTAGGAGCTTTCAAGTGCAAGTGAACGGTCAAGAATAGGAGACACATGTAGCTAACTGTGAAAATGTTTTTTTTGGGGAGGGGGTTTAACAATTTAAAAACTTGCAGGGAGGAAAATACAGGCATCCTCTCTATGCAACTTTGGCTTTGTAGTCTCACTTGAAACTGTCAGATTGCACACATTTTGTGAATGCCTGAAAAGAATTTTCAAGACTTAGCAGGCTGTATTTACTGCACAGCTACTGAAATGTGTTTCAGTACTGGTTTGTTGTTCAAATACCCATTTATAAACATCACTGACCATCTTTCATTATGAAATGTTACAAATTAATATGGCCTTTAAAATTATTGGCGAATCTGTTCTCTCATGGTAATCAGTCACTTCTAAAGCACAAGCTATAGCATCTAATATATAATTCACTTTAGTAGAGGCAATTATGTTGATTGCAAAATCCATCAGAATACACTGGCTCTAAAAATAAGAGTGTATATGGCAGTCCATATTTAGCAAATTGAGGTTATTAATCAGACCCTGTTCCTTGCATATCATTCATCCCCATGGTAAGCATTTTTCAGCATCCTTGTCAGGGAGTGGCAGTCAAAGGAAGGTAGGCAAGAACTGAGGTTGACAACAGTGCAGGCAGGAGCAAGGTAGCAGCATGGGTAGGATACAGGGCTGTTTGAGATGTATCTACAACACAGCTCAAGCCTGTGGCAGGGGAAGAAGCTAGGCTTGAGCAAAGCTCCTGGGCACAGGCTTGCTGGGTAGAATTACAGCTTCTTGGTGTACTGAGGGCCCTGAGCAGGACCTTTGTTGGATAGATAAATAGGGAACTATATACAGAAACAGAGAGCTTTAGTTGGAGATCCTTCCTGCAGGCTGTACTGCTTGTGAAACTGTAAAAGCACTGTCAACACATGAGATTGGAAAAGCAGACACCATAATTCACTGAAATTCTGGGAGATCCTGACTCTGCTTTGAGAGGAAAATTGATTGACATCCTCAAAGTCCAACTACTGGACAAGTACAGTTATTCATTTGTGATTTGGTGCAGAAAAGGAGCAGTGCCTGTGAAAGGTGGGAGTATCCATATTTCAAATCTCATTGTCCTAAAAGTCAGAAGAACAAAGCCTCGTTACTCTATATCTTCAAATAATCTGGCTGAAAATAAGGGTGATTTTCACATTCTTGCTTTCCATCATGCTACTGAATTTTGTACAGATAAATCAAATAATATAATAGAGAGAGTGTAAACTGGGGAACACAAATTCCTGAGCTGCTGCCAGCTTTTCATGCCAGTACAGTTAGCTCTTAGATAGAGGCTCAAACATGCACTTTTATAAGGATGTAATTGTTAACACATAGCAGTAAATTGAGTCAGAGTAGGAATGTCCTCCAGCACTTTTTTCTACGCTAGTGGATATTCTGTACTTCCCACAATAGTAATTCTTCCTTGGGCCTATTCTGCCTTATTGACAGTGGCACATAGAAACATTTCTGTCATAAGGAATCCAAGCCACAGGTGTTATAACCATTAGGCTTCTCTGAAGGGGAAGGGATCTGGATATTTCAGTTTAAAAAAAAAGGATCTGAGAGATAAATATGATTTTTTGAGTCTTGGCCAAGTTATGCTCATAATGAAAACCAAACATCTTTATATGGAGTCTTTACTCTGGATCGAGAGCAAAGAGGGTCATTAAAAGAACCCTGCAGGGAAAATAACTGCAGTAGAGTTACACAGTGAAGACACAGTATTAAATTAATAATGTGTCAAGCTAATTTGTCTCCTGGTGACTGGTGATTGTTTCTCCAGTGTTGAAATCTCTCTTGTCTGAAGGTACTTTTTTTGATGAAACCTATCCTGACAGAAAGATGAGCAGTCAGTTATCACTGAAACAAGAATTTTTGTAGGGGGTAGCACAAAATATAATCCCAAAATCTGCCCACAATGGGACTCAAGAGAGAGCTAAACTAACTAAAAGTGCCTGTACTGGGACTATAAGAATGTGGTTTAAAAGTCTTGATTAAGTGCAGGAATAGGTAGCTTTTTGTGTTTCTCTTCAGGTATTATTAAATTGCTAGACAAATTTTAACCCCTGGAATTCTCAGAACTGCTTACATCACATTTATATAAAGTGTGTATTTTATTGCTATTATTTACAAGGGGTTTAGGAATTTTTTTTCTCTTGATCGAGAAAATAACCAGTTTTGAAGGAAAAGAGGAAAAGGTTTCAAAGTAAAAGAAGCTAAACGGCAATGACTGTCTCTTTCCTCAAGAATCTCTTACCACTGTACTGATGTACTGACTAGGTACAAAGGTCCAAAATTCATCCCGTCATCTTTTTGTGACATTTCATCATGCATGCCGATGCATTAGTGTAAGTGTATAATAATATTAAAATTCATGAAAGGTATAGAAACTACCTGTCTGCTGGGTGTGACATGGATATATATCTGTCTTTGTAGATTTTGTAGACACAGAAACTGCTTTGGAACCAGAGGGTATATGGGGGGACAGGGAATAGAGAAAGAGACCTCATGGCTTCTTATGAGAGTGGAAAGTTAAATATTATGAAAGAAAATAAACCAAATAACGCACTAAAACAATGCATTAAAATAGAACTTCATTTTACATCAAGGAACACCTTTAATTGGAGGTAGAAGTGCTTGTAATCAATTCAACTAAAAGAACATTCACTGAAGTGGGTTTGTATGCATTTGCAGGTGTCTTGTCAGGAATAAATATTTCCATGGAATCTTAAATTATATTTAGGTTGACCACTTTAATGCTCAAAGCCATATCTAAAATGAGCACCTACTTCTTCCTAGTTAGGAAGAATTAAGTTCCTGTGTGAAGTCATTTCCCAGAGAGGCTTTGCTCCTGTAGTAGACCAGCTGGCAGTCAGGGAGCAGGAACATTCCTAAGCACAGCCAGTAACTGTGGGCTCTTTTTGCTGACTGTAGAGACAACAGATAAGTTAAGGTTTTATTACCTGCACTGATCAAAAGATTCATCCATCTCACACAAGCAGTGCTCTGAAGTAATGAAATGGGTAAATATTGCACAATTAGGAATTGTGCTGCACTCATTGTCTGACTGGTGGGGGAAGCTGTAAAATATTCAGAGTCTGGAAAGTATTTGTTGCTAAATAGAGTCTATTGAAAATGTACTTCAGCATTTTATTACCAAAGATTCTCTTCTGTCTGAATGAAGTGGAAGAAGGACAGGTCTTCTGAAGGATTTTTTGATTCAGAAAATTAATGAAAGAATTTTTTTTTTCTCATATGCAATAGATGACACTTTTTTTTCACTCCCCATTTTTTGGTCTCACGTTATTTTCTTGTTTAAGTATTGATTGTAGCAGATTAATCTGTATGAGACATGAATTTTATCTGGAATTATATTTTAGCTGAAATCCTCTTAGGCTGAAAGTTTGTGTTTTCTAAATATAGAGTAAAAATAAATAAAAACATGTATTCATGTTCTTAAAAACCTGTTTGACTAATACAGCAGCAGCTCCTGCTAAAACTTTCATGCCTTATTATTTATACACAGTTTGAAAAATGTCTTTGCCATTTTTCTTTAATGTGCTAGTTCCCTGGCCATTAAAAACCCCTGACCTCAGGTACCTCATGAATTTTGCACATGATGTCTGTTGCATAAAGCAGATTTTATTATTATTTAATGAACCTCTGTATCTGATCCATCATTTCAGTTACAATACTGGTAGCATTGATCCCACATTTAAAGCTTTCTAGAACAAAGGGAGAAATCAAACCAAAAAAGCTGGCTTTAAACCAGACATGATGCTTTTATTTCTGCTCTGCCATGTTTTTGAGATAGTAGTAAATTCTGTGTTATTTTATTCTGTTCCAGCTGTTTACCTCTGCAAGCGGACAATGCAAAACAAAGCAAGACTAGAACTAGCAGACTATGAAGCTGTAAGTACCTGGCAAAAACCACAAATTTCTCTGCTGGGCCTTGTAAGCCCATGAAATAATGTTGAGCATGAGAGCTATGGGCATTATGTGTGAAAAGCTATTAGTTATCCAGTTCTTCCAGCTTGTGGGTTTAACACTGCTCAGTAGTCTTAAATGGTGTTTGAGACATGATAGTGAAGACTAACTGGACAAATGTTGAGATTACAGCCCATTTCTAATCTTACTCTGTTCAGATCCTCATGCCAGGATCACAAATACCTTCAGAAATCCCAGCTACACCATGAGTGTTTGGAAGCAGTTGTTCTCAACACCATTTAAGGTTTGAACAAAGGATCCCTGAGAATATTTCCAAAAGCCCTTGATAGATGTGGAAATGTAAATCTCATCCTTTATAAGTGATGCTGACACTTGAGCCTTTTCCCATCAGCTAGATGAGAGGCAAAGAGGGTCAGACTAGAGGCATGCCTACTCCCTGACAGTTGTGCTGTGCCTTGAGCAAGGTAAGACAATTGGGACCAAGAAGAGCCTGAAAAGGAGGGAGTTGGATTAGCTGATGAGGATGGCATTACATAAGGAGAGAGACGTCTTGAATTCTGACTTGAATTCCCCAAAAAGTTCCTGAATTTTTCATGAGCATGTCAACATAAAATTCACGAACAGCCTTGTCTCTGTGCTGAAAGCTGTCCAGCTGTGCTGCTGTGACCTGAGAGCAGGATAGTCAGCCAGACCTCCCAACACACCAGATACTCCAGCCACAGCACCATGCTGAGACACTGTATTGCTTCTTCTGGCACAAGCTTGTTTTTCAGTGTACTGCACTGTGGGATATGCATAATTTTATACACACATGCCTTAGAAAACTCCCCTTCAGTGTACAATCCATGAGAGCCTTTTCTAGTATTGACAAGATCTCTAGAAAGTCTGCTCTTCTCTTTCTGTAGTCTTTATTTTTGGTAAACATGGCACAGAGATACATTTGCAATGCATAGAAATATAGTAAAATCAACACATTTTTGTTAAGAAGACTGCATACTGCTGCTGTTTAAGGTGGGAAGGGTTTTAAAAAGGAGACGGTGTTGGAGACAGTGAAAATGTTCCAGCATCAATGGAAGAAAGAATTTTGCAATTATTTTATAAAATTTCTTCCTGTTATTATTAGTTGGCTGTAGAATAGATACATTTCCTGTACACTATTGAAGAACTGTACTCTGTATTTTTAAAAAAGAGGATAGCTGTGGAGGTTTGGCTATACTACCAAAAATGGCAGCCAACACTGTTCAGTGGAAACCATTTGCATAGATGACAGATGAGGAATTTTCACATGGATCATCCAGTATGGAGATAACTGCTGTTATTTTTCATTATTACATACTTTCAAAACAAGGATATTTCTGTGTACTATTTCAAAATTGCTAAGATAGCACACAGTATATAAAAATGTTTCAGAAATCCCATGTTCTGCTGAAGGATGCATCTACCCTTTTTATCAGAGTTTCAAAACTAAAATAGTCGAGGTGTTCAAAAGTATTGCATCCCATTTGGTGTCAAGAAAAAACTTTATATCAGATAAGTAAGGTCCATTTACACTGACACAACTATCATGACTTGTATTACATCATGGTGAGGGTGAGGAGAGGAGGGAAAGATAAAGCCAGAAGCTATTAAAGAGTAAGTAACCTGCAATCTAACCCACTAAAATTGTGATGTATTTTCAGGAGAGTTTGGCCAGGCTACAGCGAGCTTTTGCTCGGAAATGGGAGTTTATTTTTATGCAAGCTGAAGCACAAGCAAAGTAAGTTCCTTTGGAGATGAGCAGTTTTCTTCTTGCATACTTTTTGAAGGGGGTGGGGGAAAAGGGGTTGGACACATTTTATGTTTAAAATTACTGTCCTCAATGCTGTTTCTTTTAAATATCCTATGACATTGACAGGGTTGACAAGAAGAGAGACAAGATAGAGAGGAAGATTCTTGACAGTCAGGAGCGAGCATTTTGGGATGTGCATCGTCCAGTGGTGAGTGCTGGTGGGGCTGGATTGCTGATAAATGTCAGCTTCTGTGGAGCTTTGGGGTAGCCTGGAGACAAGAAAAGAGCAGTAGGGCAAGGGGTTAGGGCTTGATTCCCTCTTTTAAGGATCTAGAGTTTATATGAATCTGATATTGTAGACTTCAGGTGTGTGTGCATCCAAAAGTTCATGATTTTTAGTGAATAGACGTGTTGTGCCTGGTTTCTTGAATCAGAAGGTACCTGTCTTTGACTATTATCATCTCAAAGGTTTCCTGGGGTATGAGTCACACAAACGAAATTATCAGCATAACTAAAAATACCCTTAAATAATTCTGACTATTTTTCTTTTTTATTCTGCTTTTTTGCTTGCTAAGCCTTTTAACTTCACTCTAGTTACATTTCCAAGCTATTTTTGAAGTACATAAAGATATTGGCTTTCAGCTATGGGAGTCACACACTGTCTAAACAAGATTTTTCTGAGTTCTTTGTCAAAGTCCATCTGAAACAAAACTTTAAAAAATAAAGTTTCTTACATACTCAACTGTATTTGAGTGCTAGAATTGTGAAAAAGAATGTCAGTTGCTACAAAAATTCCAATTAAACTGTACTTTTTTTTTTTCGTTACTACAGATCAATATTGGTTCCCCTTACCTAGAGTTAAGCTTTCCTTTTCTGTTTATGCAGTTTGGTATCATTACCAGTGAAGTCACACATGAACTATATCTTCTGCTCTGACACTGGGGAAAGCTACTTTTAGTGGGGGAAGTAAAATCAGGTGATGACATGTGTGGAAAAGTAGAATACAACAAGAAAGTTTAAATAAAAAATAATAAACTTGAACATGGTCAATAGTATCAGTATTGATGTGAAAGATTCCAACCACAGGAAATAGATGCAAAAAGACTGAGACATTATTGTCTAATCACTGACATCAAGGAAGGAGAACAGAAAGCAGTTTTCCATCTGATGTACATTGGAGCTACACAGGGAATAAACACAAAGTATCTGTGGACCTGAGACCTGTGAAGGTGCAGAGAGCTTTTATATTTGCTGCAGAAATGGATCTAAAGGTTTTGAATCTGAGAATGTTATTTTCAGGTTTGGAAGAGATGAATTGTGGAAACATCAAGAGAGTAAAAGGGACCAGGACAAGAGGAAATTGAATCTGATTAAGAGCTTTGGCTGAACTGTGGATAAATCTGCCTGGTCCAGCAGATGTTTTTAATCTCACTGTAAACATACCTAGGAAATATCAGAGGCAAAAGACTGGCTTACAGTCAGCAATGTCAGCTTCTGGCTTTAGAAGATATAAATGGAAGAATGGAGAGGTTCATACTTTGGCTACACTGCTACTATCAAGAGTCATTGAAATAATATTTTTGAAAACACCATCATGAATTGACTGTCACAGTAAAAGCGAGAAGCTGCTTTTGAAAAGAACAAAAGATAAAACACAAACAGACTGAAAAGGGGAGGGTGATGGTAGAGCTAAATACAATTTGTAATAGATTTTCAAGCTGCCCAAAGGCCTCCCAAAAACTTATGAATGACTGCTGCAATGCTGGACAGCTAAATTTTTAAAATAGTTTTTTAAGGTAGTATTTGGATGAGAATCTGTGTATAATGCTTATTTTTATTTACAGTGTTTTGCCTTCCGATAAAAGTTCAGAGGCTAGGGGCAGTGACAACATGGTTTGAAATCCACCCCAATGTAATTATTTTTTTTTTTACTGAAAATGAGTTTTGAGGATCAAATGTTTCATTATTTTTCGTTGGTTGGTTGGTTGGTTGGTTGGTTGAAGGTGATAAATATTATTTCAGGGTATTCTTGCAGGTATTCTGGTCCTTAGTTGCTTTATTGCTTTATTTGTTACCTACCCAGCTACAGTTCTGATACAGAAGATTTACACATGAAATATAAACTATGAATATTAAATTTCCATTGTATTTTGACTTTAAGTTGACAAAAGGAGCAGAAGAGGGAAGCAAGCCATCATTCCTAAAGAACAGGGCAGCAATGCACTACAGGAATGTGGGACATGAGAACAGCTGTATGGCAGTGGAGCCAGGAAAATGGTGATGCAGAAAAAGAGGTTGATTAGGTATCAGAAACCTCACTGTGACTCACAGGTTTAAAATAAAGGAAATGAACCAAGGTTGGACATGTAAAAAGGATTTGCCTCAAAAACCACCGTTGTTTCTTGGCTCCCAAGTCGGAGGCAACCCTGCAGGTGATTACAGAAGTTCTAGAAGATTTGTGCCGCAGTCTGAGGAACAGACAAATTCTTGAAAGTCATCATGACTGTTACTTTTGATTGGCTGGCCCATAATTTTTTCCTAGGTCTTCCAACTGAGATGATGTTTGGAGATGAGGCAGAGGAATTGGATTTGGAAAGTTTTATTCAAATAATCATCTATTCCTCAATTTTCTTCTGAGAGACAGTTTAGAGAACAGCTTTATTGTCTCACTGTTTGGTTTCCATTACAATTTTTATTTAATTGTTGTTTCCCTGTGGGGGTGTTTTGGGTTCTTATGGGGTGGGGGGGGGGGGGGGGGGGGGAGAGTGGGAGCTGTTGTGTGTATTTCAGGAGTGTAATCTCAGTCACTTCTGTAAATCCCAGTTTCTGCTTTATGTAGAAATATCTTAGATTGCAGTTAAAAAGAGTATGGCTGAGCTTCTTGTAGATAACTGCAGCTTGCAGAGACATTCCCGAACAAGTTTTAATTTCACTTGTTCAGATACCAGCCATAGTAAAAGCCAAGTGTCAAGGAGAGCTGTAAAAACTCCCATGCAATCCTGAGCAGCAGGCCTAGAATAAAATCTATGCTGTTATTTCTAAGGTAGAACCAGTATCTGACATAGATCTAAGATTAGTATTATTCACATATAGTGATGCATGTCTCTTTTTGATGACAGAGTAAACTTATATTAAAAACCTTTCTCTTCTTTTCACCTGCTTAGAAAGAGTATTATTTTCATAATTTTGAAACTTCTGTTGATAACAGACTGTGGAAATAAGCAAAAATTGGTTAGGAGGATTAAGGTGTTAGTCAAAAACAATAATAAATCAAGCTAAATTGGGGAAGTGAGTTACTTCCAGGAGAAAGAAATTGAGGAGCTGCTTTTATTCAAAAAGAAATGTTGCACTCCTCATTGAAGTCTTTGAAAGAGAACTTGTTTCGGCTTTCCTGAATTATTATCTCTTTTTAAACCCCATAATCTTACACTTGTTAAAAAGGGACAAATGGGTACTAAAGCAGTAAATCCCCTAAAATATTCTCAAACCCACGCTGAATTCAGTCAGAGCTGTGGCTTGCTGTAAAATTAACTCTTTCAGGTAACAAGCAAGACAAATGATGTCTTGCTGCTACAAATTATTCACTTTTTGTCCTGAGATAATATATTCATGCAATAAAAAAGGCCTTTTGGATACTTGCTGAGATTCAGACTAATTCAGAAGATAATGGGAGAGGTATCCTTTCCTTTTGAAAGTCACCTGTATACTTTGTAACTGTAAAAACTTGAAAAAGCATTTGGTTTTCTCCAAGGCCTCTCTGACCTTTGCCATCAGTCTGTGCTGGTTGTATTACAGTCACATTTAGCAAGTTTCTGTGCAGTTGCTTTTAAAATAAAGATGGGAAATATGCAACAGATGTACTAGAAAACTGCATTGGTGTGTGTCCCTCTCCAAAGTTTAAACTCTGTCTATGGTTTAGTCATAGTGTGATTTGATAAAGCATGAGCATGAGTCAAAGTATGAGCCAGTTCTTCCATTCTGCCTTTTATAACTTGGTTAAACCCAATCCACAGGACTTCTATTCCCATTTCTGGACTATGGTGATTATTTTGGCTCTTTGGGAAAAAAATGGATATAAAATATTGATAAAGGTCAGACTTAATGACCAGAATTCAAGTTCTGTTCCAACTTAGATGATTCTATGATTTTATTAAAAACAACAGCAGTATTTGTGTGATTTAATACAGGACAGCAAAGTATCTGGGGTGAGTATGTCTAGTAAGGACAAGCAGTAAGATTAAAAAGCAAGGGTGGGTTTATGATAATTCGCTGTTGTTGTAAAATTCAGAAATCTGTATAATTTCTGGATTTGGGTGTTCCTTGCCATTGTTTCCTAGTACCTAACTAGGGAAACAGTGTTCTTCAAATAATTAAAACTTTGTCACATGTCCCACACCTTCTGCTTCTCTCTCTTTTTATGAGACTCTATATCCATTAATTTAATTTTCTCTGTTTATTTTTTTAAATTGTATTTTATGTGGTCTGAACATGACCCTTGACATCTGACCTGGCAGGTAACATTACCAGGTGTTGTGGGCCAGGCAAGTGGTTCTTTTGTATTTTAACAATTATTTCATCCTGTCCTTCAAGATCAGCCTCAGAGACTTGTCAAAACAGTGAATTTCCCTAAGATAAGATGGTGCATGCCTGCATTTCACACTCAGTACTAGTCTTTTCTGGGTCAGTCACTTGTTTAGCCAGAGAACCCTTCTCTCTACTTTTTCATAATATTTTCTGAATATTTTTAAACAGCTTCAGAAGGCAAATGTGAATCATGCCATCCAACTTCTCTAGTGATATATAGACATATAATTTTCATGTCTTCTTTTGCACCTGTTTGACCATATATCCTTACAAGCAGACAGGGAATGCAGCCAAAACAGAAATTGTCATTCTCAGATAATTGCCCTTCTAGTAATGAAACAAAGCCTCGTGCAATGTTTTAATTTCAAAAAATGGTTATAATGTTTGTGATCCATACTTGCATGTAATTGAGACACATATTTATAAACCTTCTAGCAGGCCTGCTAAGACCTTTGTAGAAGATTTTGTGCTCACATTATTTAACATTTTATTTAGTCTAATACTTGAGTAAAGGTGGGGCAGATGGGGAAAAAGAAGCCAAGTTTCTTGCAACAGTGTAACAAAATGAATTTTTGGAAGTTAAAATTAAGAGGTCACAGGTTGTGAAAGAGTTAATTGATGAGA